CAAACTATTCTAAAAAATTCAAGAGGAGAAAAGACTCAAGCTCATTTTATGAAGCCAACATTATACTAATTCTAAAATCAGATAAAGAAACTACAAAGAAAGGAAAGTATAGGCCAATATCCCTGATGAACACAGATGCTAAAATGCTCAACAAAATATTAGCAAACTGGATCCAGCAATACATGGTCATACACCATGACCAAGTGGGACTTACTTTGGGGAAGCAAGGTTGGTACAATATCCGCAAATCAAAAAGTGTGATAAAGAAAATGAAGGACAACAACCACATGATCATATCAATAGATGCAGAAAAGCATTTGATAAAACCCAGCATCCATTTGTGATAAAAACTCTGCAAAGTGGGAACAGAGGGAATATAGTTCAATGTAATAAAGGCCACATATGACAAACCCACAGCCAACGTCATACTCAATGGGTAAAAACTACAAGAGTTTCCCTTATAATTGGGAACAAGACAGGGATGTCCGCTTTCACCACTCCTCTTCAGCATAGTACTGGAAGTCCTAGCTATAGTAATCAGACTAGAAGAACTGAAAGGCATCCAAATTGGAAAGGAGGAAATAAAAAACTGTCATTATTCGCAGATGACATGATGTTGTACATAGAAAACCTTAGAAACTCCACTGAAAAGCTATTAGGCCTAATAAATGGATTCAGCAAAGTAGCAAATAAAAAAATAATATTTGCAAATCAGTGGCATTTCTATACACCAATAATAAACTATCACAAAAAGAAACTAAGAAAACAATTTCATTTACAGTTGCATAAAAAAATGTTGATGTAAAAGACCTTTACTCAGAAAATCATAAGACTCCATAGAAAGAAACTGAAGCAGATACAAATAAGTGGAGGCCTATACCACGTTCATGGATAGGAAGAATTAACATCATTAAAATGTCTGTACCACCCATAGTTATCTATAGATTCAACAAAATTTCTATCAAGATACCAATGGCCTATTTCACAGAACTAGAACAAATATTCCAACAATTTATATGCAATCACAAAAGACCCTGAATGGCCACAACAATCATGAGAAAGAAGAACAAAGTTGGAGGAATCATGCTACCTGGTATGATATTGGCATAAAAACAGTCACATAAATCAGTGGAACAGAATAGAGAACCCAGACATAATCCCACACCTTTATGGTCAATTACTATTTTACATGGAGGCAAAAAATATACAATGGGGTAAAGACAGTCTATTAAATAAATGGTGTTGGAAAAATTGGACTGATACATACAAAAATAATGAACTAGACCACCAACTTACACCATACACAAGAATAAACTCAAAATGGATAGAAGACCAAAAATGCTAGACTCAAAACCATAAAAATCCTAGAAGAAAACATAGGCCGTAAAATCTCGGGCATTTCTTGTAGCAATATTTTTTCTGATATATCACCTCAGGCAAGAGAAACAAAAGAAAAAATAAACAAGTGGGACTACATCAAACTATACAGTTTTTGTACAGCAAAGGAGACCATCAACAAAATGAAAAGACAACCCACTGGATGGGAGAATATTCACCAATGATACATCTGATAAAGGCTTAATATCCAAAATTTATTTTATTTTTTTAAATATATCTTTATTGATTTCAGAGAGAGGAAAGGAGAGGGAGAGAAAGAGATAGAAACATCAATGATGAAAGAGTCATTGATCAAGCCCACAACCCAGGCATGTGCCCTGACCGGGAATCGAACCCCGATCGCCTGGATCCTAGATCGGCTCTCAACTGCTGAGCCACGCCCGGCTGGGCAATATCCAAAATTTAGAAAGAACTTATAAAACTCAACACCAAAAAACCCCAAACAACCCAATTAAGAAATGGGCAAAGGTCCTGAATAGACACTTCTCCAAAGAAGACATTCAGAAGGCCAATGGACATATGAAAAGATGCTCAACATCACTAATCATCAGAAAGATGCAAATTAAAACCACAATGAGACATCACTCCACACCTGTAAGAATGGCTATCATCAATAAATTCACAAACAGGTGTTGGTGAGGACCTGGAGAAAAGGGAACCCTTGTGTGCTGTTGGTGGGAATGCAGACTGGTGCAGCCACTGTGGAAAGCAGTGTGGAGTTACCTCAAAAAATTAAAATTGGAACTGCTTTATGACCCAAAGATTCTACTTCTGGGAATATATCCAAAGAAACTGGAAACACTGATTTGAAAGAATACATGCACTCCTATGTTTCTTGCATCATTATTTGCAATAGCCAAGATTTGGAAGCAGCCCAAGTGCCCATCAGTAGATGAGTGGATAAAAAAAGCTGTGGTACGTTTATACCATGGAATACTATGCAGCTGTAAAAAAGCAGAAAATCTTACTCTTTGCAACAGCATGGATGGACTTGGAGAGTATTGTACTAAGTGAAATAAGCCAGTCAGAGAAATACAAATACCATATGATTTCACTTATATGTGGAATCTAATGAACAAAATAAACTAACAAACAAAACAGAAACACACTCATAGATACAGATAACAGACTGACAGCTGTCAGAGGGGAGATGGTTTGAGGGGCTGGGTGAAAAAGGTGAAAGGAATAAGCAAAAAAAACCCACAAAAGTCATAGACACAGAAAACTATGCCGATTACAAGGTGGGAAACGGCTGTGGGAGAGGTAGGAGCATAAAGGGGGGATAAATGACTTGAGGTGGTGAACACAAAATATAATATAAAGATGATGTATATATAACTGTACACCTGAAACCTATATAATTTTATTAACCAATGTCACCCCAATAAGTTCTATAAAAATAAAGAATAAAACATCATTGACACTATACAACAATAATAAAAGTAATGACTAATTCTGGAGATATCAAGTTTTCGATAAGATACTGAACAAAAATAATATGTGTGGCAGAAACAGTGATTGGGTAATAATGACCCAGTGATTCTGAATATGTTCTGAAAGAGAATGGAAATGTTAATTTTACACCAGACTGGTTAAGTATGTAAGTTACAAAATGATAGAAAGAGAATATGTATTTCAAATTACTACAAGGGAAAAGTCACAGAAAATATTCTATCAGTTCAACAGAGGATATAAAAAATGATGCAAAGAAAAAGGTGATTATAAAGGACTAGTCAAGATGGTAGAAATAAATCCAAATATAACTATCACAATAAATGTAAATAGCTTAAAGTGGAAATCTGCCTACAAACAACAGAACAAAGTGAAACAAAAAATACGTATGACTTAAATAGTTTTACAAAAAAATTCTATGAAACCTTCAAGTAATAGAAATATCCGAGAGAATGTAAAATAGGGGAATATTCCCCAACTCATTTTATAAGGCTGGTATAATCTTGATAACCCATCTAGATGGGGCCAGTGGCAAATAGGAAAATTTTAAGCCAATCTCACCTCGTGCAGGTGTGTTAAATACTAAACAGTGCTAACAAATCAAATCAAGCAATTTATTAAAAATAGAGTATGACAAGTTAGGTTAATCCTAGGAATAAAAGGATAGTACGACATTAGAAAATGTTAATATGTTTAACCACATTAAAGGATTAGAGGAGAAAATTTTTCAATTGATGCAGAGAAAGATTTGATAAAATTAAATATCCATTTACGATAAAAGTTCTTTGCAAAAGGAATAGGAGAAAATTTCCTACATATCTCCCCTCCCTATCTACCAAAATGAGAGATTATTTTTAATGGTAAAAATGTTAGAAGCAATCCCTCTAAAGTCAGGGGGAAAGGACAAGGCACTATCTCTTCTAGGAAGCTGACCCTGAGTCTCACTGAGTACCTTCCATCCCTGCAACTGTAGCACTTAAATGTCTTCTGATCGAGTCACATGTGTAAGATTGTCTCTCTGCTTTGAAAATAAGCTCCTTGAAGGTACCCATGCATCATGCTACTTTTGTATCTTCTATAGCATTTTAGCACTAAATTCAGTATATATCAGGTGTGTAATAAACACATTTGATTGAATGGTATTATGACATGTCCCCTGAAGTGATTTTTAAAAATAACTTTCCTTTTTTCCCAATTGTTGAAGTAATACAGCTACACTGTAGGAAACTTCAACAATTCAGAAAGTATAAAGAAGAAATTGAAAATAACCCCAATTTCTATTGCCAGAGATAGCCACTATTACTATTGACATTTTGGTGCATTTTTCTTCTTCGAGTCTGTGACATTTTAATCTAGTAGAGCACAAACTCCTTAGGAGTGATTTTGTACCTTACTATTTGCTGTTTATAGAAGCATTTCCTCATAACCATAACAATGGTTACACGATACTAAATATCATAACTTATCTAGACATTTCCTTATCATTGGATCTCTGTTGTCATTTCTGTAAATAATATATATATATTTTTAAATATATCTTTATTGATTTCAGAGAGAGGAAAGGAGAGGGAGAGAGAGAGACAGAAACATCAATGATGAGAGAGTCATTGATCAAGCCCGCAACCCGGGCACGTGTCCTGACCGGGAATCGAACCCCGATTGCCTGGATCCTAGGTCAACGCTCAACCGCTGAGCCACGCCCGGCCAGGCTAAATAATATTTTTGTGCATACATCTTTTTCTGTATTTTAGATTATTTTCTTAGCATAGGCCATTACAGTGTTGGAGATCATGTGTTTCCTCCAAACATTATTGTAACCCTCAAAATACAGCGACCTTTATTGACCAGGTCTTTCCTCCTGCGCTCCTCCCCTCCCTCCAACCTCTGGTTTAACTAGAGTGGAAAAAGTAGAGGAGACAGGGAAAAAGAAAATAAATACATAAAAAGTGGACTATTTTAGGCAAAAATTGGAGCCAAGGATGTTGTTAGGTAAGTTTTTCCCTTCATCTGACTATCCCATGACCCCTGCCCCTTGCAACTTTCCATGACCCCCAACCCCCACAACTTCCCATGACCCCCGACCCCACAACTTCTCGTTCTTCCTCTCTTGTCTTTCTCTAGAAAACCACTTGAGAAAAAAGCATTCTTACCATAATATTTCCAAATTCTTATATTTTGTTTCTGTATAAGTTTGTTTGGGTTGCTTCTTATTTTCAGTCGCTCTGTTAACATTTACGTTGGAAACAGACTGGGAGCCTTTGTGACTCAGGGGCACTTGTCTCTTAGTAAGTCCATTAGGGTAGTTCAAGTCCATATTGGAAAGAGTGTTCGTGTGTAGCTGCTGGTATGAAAATATTCTCTCTTCTTGGTCTTTGCGTCTTTTTTCTTTATTAAAATTCATCTCTGAGTGTTGTCCAGCGTTTCTATATAACACCTTGTCAAAAGCGCGCTGTGGTGGGGCAAACCTGTTGGAGGCTCCTTTGGGATCCTGGCTCCTAAGTGCACTTGAGTGTTGTAAATCACTGCTAGGGTCATTCATAACCACAACTGCCTCATGCTTTATTGAATTATCAATACTCCTGTTTTGATTTTGTTGCTGTCTGGGAGTGTTTTTCTGATTTCCTAGACCGAAGACCAGCTCTTCAGTCATGAAGGACTTCAGGCCACGGCTGTGTTTCTGCTGTTTTCGAATCTTGTGCTTGGCTGGTCTCCTGGAAGGTTGCTGCTGACCACTGGATGTTTCAGAAGATTGACGTCTTAGTATAGTACTTGATTTTGCACTTTCATATTGAGACCAGTGTTCCTGGTAATTCCAAAAAGATATTTTTGGTTAATGTAAAGTTAAAAGATTGGGACTCTTCACAAATTTTAAATTAGTATTTTTCAAACTGGGAGTTGAGACTTGTAGGAAGGTGACAGTGGAATTGAAAGGAGATGAAGACTACTAGGAGAAGATTCTTTCCTATGTCAGGCACAGAGAGGGGAGTTAGCTGAGCGCCTCCTCCTGGCGCTTATACATTTTCTAGGAAGAAGTAGAGAGTTGAGAATGGGCTTTATATCAAGGACAAGTCTTTGAGTTAAAATGCTATAAAATGAAGTGTTACCAAGTTAGGGCAGGGAGAAAGCTTTACCTCTAAAGATCTGCATGCAAAGAAAGGGAAAATGTACATCAAAATATTCCAGTTTACTTTGACTATTTTAAAAATACTAACCAGAAAGAACATCAATGATTTGCTTTGCCAACTAAGCACGAGTTTAATATGAAGTACAATTCATCTATCAGATCTTTTTACTCATATAGTTCAGAAGCTAGAAATGACCTCTTCACTGGATGAAACAAATTAGATTTTATAAAAGAGTCCGCACTCTGATAGGACGCCTGTGAAACCACAAGGGCTGTTTTGCTTCTGTTCCTTAATACAGCCTGTACTTAGGCAATCAAACACCTGGGGGAATACTTCAATTTCACAACAGTCTTCATGCTTTTCAAAGTCTCGTAACAACAAAATGTACTCCTGATATAATAGGTACACTATGTGACTATATGGTGCTATGCCATTTGGAAACATTTCCCAAGGAATGAAGCACTCATTACTTCGTAAAAAGCTAGCTGAGTTAAGAGGCCTTTGAAAGGACTGATTAAATGCTTACTGTGAACAGTAAGATGACCATGTGCATCAGCACGTTACATAACTGCACACATTTCTCCTTTCTGAACGCATGCACATGAAACCTCTGTGGTCTGTACCCATAAAACATTCATCAAATTATGCAAGTTACCCGGATCGTTTGAGAAAAAAGCTTGAAGTAAATAAATCATGTTTTTGCTTAAACTGTTTGTTTTAGCTTGCTATGAAGAATGATCGAAGTACAGCAGTGGGTTCAACTTTTATTTCACTTTCCTGATATAATCGCTAAGGCTCATCCTATTCCTATATAATATTAAGTGGTATTGTATTTTGAATGAAATCTCATTATAATGATAAGGTTGAGACTATTTAAAACAGTAATACACAATGTTACTTCTTACATCAGATTTTTAAGTAAGAATGGCTTATAATTTGAAATTTAGAGTATATTCTCTTTAGAATTTGAGCCTTCTGGAGGATTGGCCAAATTCTGATTAGCAACTCTAAACTTTAATTTTTTACCTGTGGTGCTCAAAAAAAACCCCACACAAAACACTTCCTTTTCTGTATTTCAATTAAGATAGGATGTGGCCCTGGCCGGGTAGCTCAGGTGGTTGGAGCGTTGTCCCAATACACCAAGGTTACAGGTCCAATCCCCAGGCAGGGCACATATAAGAATCAACCAATGAATGCACAAATAGGTAGGACAAAAAATTGATCTCTCTCTCTCTCTCTCCACAAAGTCAATTAAAAAAAAAAAAAAAGACAGGTTCTTCCTCCCATGCAGTANTTCTCTCTCTCTCTCTCTCTCTCTCTCTCTCCACAAAGTCAATTAAAAAAAAAAAAGACAGGTTCTTCCTCCCATGCAGTATATTGAGCAGCACGGGGGAAATGTGGGCAGGAAGGCTCTGCAGACAGCCCGACAGCGTCCTTCCTTGTAGTGGATCCAGAAGAAAATTGTTATTTTACAGTCTTATAGGTTTGTTCATCACACACACATGGCCCTTTTCATGGCTGTCATCACTGCTCATGAAGGGCAAAAACCACCCCCTTTGCTATGACCTATAAATATTTATTGATGCTGATAAGGTCATTCTTTTTAATATGTGTCCAGTCTTTTAATTGCTAGAAAAATAAGTGACCAGAAACTCTTTTTCTGCTGCTTTGCAACTGTTCTTGTTTTAGTTCTATCTTCTCATTCCCACCAAAAAAGAAAGAAAAACCTATTAGGATTTTTTTCCTGGGTACCAGACCTGAAACCTTAGGTCACCACTTGGTTTTAGTCACGTTATACCTTTGCTGCTGACAATTCAGGTTGTAATTGTATTCTTCCCAGGGTGCTTTGTCAACAAGGCCAAGGACTCATCATTTTATGAAACTTCAGTCACCTCAAGTGCTAAATTCGCTATTCAGGTAAATGTAAGTGCCCAGAGATGGCATTTCAGTCCCCAGACAGCAAGACATTTATGGGCTTGACGCGATTTCTTACTTTCCCAGCAGTCTATTGAGATCTGCGGTTTACTGAGGATTTATCACCCTACGATTGAGGCATCAGGTGTCACTCTCTAGGTGGCAAGACCTGAGTTCCCTGAAGTTAATGTACAAACCCATTCTCAGGCTATTTCATCCCCATCAGCACTGAAATCCTCTGTTTCATCCGGCTCTCACTGGGGTTCTTTTGTTACCAACTGCACAGTCAGCCCATGCTGCATGCACTCAGACTAACGGCCTAATGGCAGTAGGTTTCCCTGGCACACATAGGGCAGGGTCCTTGGCTGGGCTGTTAGCATCGAGGAATCCTGATGCCTAAAGCTAGGGTGATATTTTCATAGTAAAACCCATACTTAGTTATCAGTGTTTGTTCCTCCTGTGCCATCTGAGGGAAGTCTGCCCCAACCCATGAAACGCTGCACCCAGGGGTGTCCTCTTTCATAGCTTTGCTGTTTACAGGGCATAAGCAGAGGGGAGAATATGTGCTCTGGTCTCAACCAATCAGTTCATTTGTTTAAAAAAAACACCTCATCCTTACTCTCAAGGTGAGCACACATACAGCTTTCTGCCTCTTCAGCAGTTACCCTGATCAACCCTGGAGTCTTGAGGGTTGTGTCTGGGCTCCAAGATGAGTTTTGACATAGAGAAGTTCTGTTGTGTTTATTAACAATCAACCTTCTAGTCAACACAGCGGCGCAGTGAACATGGTATGCACCTCCTCCCACAACCACATCAAAGTTCCAACTAAACTACAAAACAGTCATCTCAGAACTGCCTAAAATCTAGCTGAATGGAAGTCCTACAACTAAGGATATAAAAAAGAAGTCACATGGAGACTGTTAAAGAGGCTAAAACATGCAACAGGCTGGTCCCACAACCACATATAGCAGTTAAAAATCAGGAAGGATGTCTTGGATGTGGAGGTCCCCACTGAGGAGCAAGGGGTCTCACCCCACACCAAGCTCCTCAACCCAGGATTCCAGTTCCAGGAAGAGAAGTCCCCATAACTTCTGGCTGTAAAAACCAGCAGAGACTGGGGCTGAGTGAGACGGAGGGCTGCTGGAGTCCCTTTTAAAGGGCCTGCACATGGACTTATTCTGACTCACTCACTCTGAACTCCAGGGCTGCGGAAGCAGCTCAAAAGCTACCAGGGACATACGGGGAGGAACTGAATTGTCCAAAGAGAGCTGGAGGGGCAGTTTTCTCCAAGACAGAAGTGCTGGCAGAGGTCATAGTTTCTTTGCTGAGCCCTCCCACATAGAGCCAGCAGGTGAGTCTCCATCAACTTGGCTCACACTGTTCGTCCCACCCTAATGATTCACTGAGACCTCACCCCACCCAACTTGTGGGCCCACCAAAACTGCTTCCAATGGCTTTTTCATACAAACAGCCTGTCTCTGCTCACGTGTGGACTTTCCTAAAGTCTCTAAAAGGTTCACAAACCCCAAACAAGCAGGATCAGGCTTCGGTGTGCCCCATACCTCTTGCTAAGTGGCCCTAGGTTCAGCACTGACAGCAGCCAGCCTTGCTTAGCAGCTTGGCCTCTTGCAAATATGTCCAAGTCCAGCAAAAGTAGCAGCCATCTGCAGATCACTTTGTAGCTCCTGATTACCTTGGGTGGCTTACCTTGGTCTGCATCTCCCAGGAGACCCTAGAGCCAATGTACCTGGTGGACAGCTTCAGACCATGCCAAAGCACCACCCAACCACCTCCACAAACAACACACTCAAGGGGATTTTAATTATGATGTGTTTTGGTGTGGACCTCCTTAGGTTCATCTTGTTTGGGACTCTGTGCCTCCTGGATATGTGTCTTTTCCCTTCACCAGTTTAGGGAAGTTTTCCATCATTATTTTTTCAAATAGTCACCAGGCACCAGAGCTCCACTGAATCATGTCCTCCTATGCGGGGTGTTCCCATGCACAGTAGACCCTCCACTGTGATTGCGACCAGTCCTCAAAACCAATAGGCCTGGTGGGTAAATACCTCCTATTGACATGCCAACAGCAATTAAGGCTCAACTACAACAGGAGGTTGTACACAGCTCACAGAGGAGGCGCATCTGGAGTGCCCAGTTTGGGTGACTGGGGAGGCTGTGCCACTGGACCCCACGAGACACTTACTACATAAGGCGACGCTACCAAGACCAGGAGACATAGCAGCTCTACCTAATACACAGAAACAAACACAAGAAGCAATCAAAATGAGAAGACAAAGAAACATCACAAAGGAAAGAACAGAACAAAACTCCGTAAAAAGGACTAAAAATGGAGACAACAATCTACCAGATGCAGAGTTCAAAGCACTGCTTATAAGAACGCTCAGTGAACTTAGGGGAAGAGTAGGTGAGCTTTAGTGAGAACTTCAACAAAGAGATAAAAAAATAAAAATGGAGACAGAAAACATAAAAAAGAACCAGTCAGAAATGAATACAATAACTGAAGTGAAGAACACATTACAGGGAATCAACAGTAGAGCGGATGAAGCAGAGGACCAGATCAGTGATTTGGAAGATATGGAAGCAGAAAACATCTAATCAGAACAACAAAAAGGAAAAAAGAATCCAAAAAAACAAGGATAGTTACAGGAGCTTCTGGGACAACTTTAAGCATCATGGGGGTGCCAGAAAGAGGAGAGCAAGAAATTGAAAACCTATTTAAAAAAATAATGCTGGAAAACTTCCC